CTTACCTTAGCGGGGTACGCTCGAAGGCCTCGCTTCCCAATGAAGCCCTCTAGAATGGGAATCTCTTCTGCACCAAAGATGCACTTAGACGCGTTAGCGTACACTTTTTTCGTGCGCATGCACTCGTGGACCGCTCGTGAATGATCAATGCGGTTATCCACATCCGATCGACCATTCGTTGCACAACTATAAAAAAGATGTCGCCAAAGCACGTTTGTGCGTAACCATGTCTGAACAGTTGCGTCACTATACGGTTAAAAGTATCCGGGGAGTTAGACAGCCCTTGTGACACAACAAGCCACTCCCAGAGCATACCGCTAGGAGTACACACCGCTGTTAGCGGAATATCTTTTGCTCGCATGAGCAGCTGGCAATAACCATCGACTAAGTCGAGTGCACTGTACGATGTACATCCTGCCATATTGTTCAGAAGCACATCCTTTCTAGGAATACGCGTCTGAGCTGGTAAAGTGGCTGCATTAAGCTTATTGTAAGCATGCACAATGCGCTACTTGTCGATTGGATTTCAAACACAAAATGTCGGTGTTGAGTGCGGAGAATCACTCTCACAAACCATTTTAGCCGAGTTCTCAACACTAAAGAATTCGTCAATGACGTTACACTGTTCTTTAGGCAAAGGCCTCTGCCGTGCTACGCAGTATTTAGCTCCTGGAATTAAGTCAAATCATGATATAAACCTCTATTAGGTAGTAAGACAGACGGTGGGTTGTGACACACCACATATTGAGATTTCATAAACGAAGGATGAAATGAAAAATTGGATTTAGAGAATCTGTAAGGATCAAAGATTCACTTCGCGCACTGAGTGTTGCCTTAGCGTCTTCTAGGACAGACTCATCCATTAACGAGGACGAGCTCAACTCGACATCGGGTCTAATGACAACTAATTCAGATGAATCTCCTGCCTGTAAGGCCTGGCTAAACTCGCCGTCAGACATTTCGTCTAGCTCACACAGAGCATCCAAAGTTGGGAGGGTTTCAAGGCTAACACTTCCATCAACCTGACCGGTCATTCCATTCACAAGCGTATCTAGTGCATTGCTATTATCACTAAGTGACTGTGTGGACGCCTGTCGCTTATGAGTTGACACCTGACGTTCAAGTCGTCTCTTGGAGACCTTACACCCCTTAGGGGTCGGGACAATACCGTCCCCTTTTTACTACTAAAAGTAGTGCGCTCTAGACGAGATCCGATGTCTTGACCGACACCCGGGGAAGTGTTACGACTCGAACTCTTCACCCAGTGGATTTCCATGTGCCACTCCAAGCAAAGTATGCGGGCCGAGCCCCGTACTGAAAGGCGTTTTGCCACCAGTCTCATTACCGACATTAAATGTGGTGCCCTCACGGCCGCCCACACTCGGTGAATTTTCACGCGCCACCTCACACACATCTTATGATTCACATCTTTGAAAATCTGGCCCTAGGCCAACTATACTTTCAGCATACAGTGACTCGTTATACCCACGAGTAACACTCAACGGAGTACGCGCCGTATCACTAATAATCAACGAGCTACGCTCGGAATATACGTTTACAACATTGGAGCTACACAACTCAGACATTTCAATGTCCAGCACATTGACGTCCTCTTCTAAAGGCTAGCGCCAGTATTGCTATAGTTGCCTAGCGAAGGTGGGTTTATGATTCTCCACAACTTCTCTTGGAACGTTGCGCGTGGGCCTAAGTTCTAATACCTACAATCAATCCAGGGCTCATGGCGTTCAAGCCAAGCCATACCAAGGATGAGATCCTATCTCGAATCCAAATCAAGGACAAGACATCGTCCAATACTGTCAAAGTCTAAGAACTGTACACCTAAGTTTAATGGAGCCTAATCACAGTAACACGACTTCCAGTCGCTTAACGAACCGTGATAGAATCACCCTCATGCGCTGTAAGCGCCTCAGCATAACGCTGACTTTCCTCAAGGGAACTACGTTGAGCAAAATTGCAAGACGCTCCAAAGTCGATCAATATAGACCAAGGCCACTCAAATCCCTTAATTTTCGCCTCGGCAACTAACAAGCCTGATTTGTATTCACGCTCCATACCAATCGGTACGTCGCTCTTTGGTGCTTAGCTCTGTTAAAACTTTACCTCCCAAATGTGTAACAGATCACAATTCTTCCCCAGTAGGGCGCCCCGCGCCTACTGGGCGTCGGAATGTTCCCGTGCCATGCAAGACTTCGGGATCGGGCTTGAATGTTGGCGTGTAGCCTGACGCTGTTTACGCAAAGGGCAACCAAGCCGCGAGTGTTTTGTGCTTCCGCACGTAAAACAGCGTCGTACGGCGTGTTGCTGCTCAGCAGCTTAGAGTTCAACTTCGCCTTCATCTTCAGCATAGCTGAGATCCATCGGTTCTGGTCTGTTAGAGGCCGGAGTAATCGTGGAGTTTGCTCTCGCAGAGCTAGGGTTGTACCCATTCCAACCAAGCATGGCCGACTTGCAGTTAGGCTCAGCATAGTATTGTAAGCAATTCTCACGGCCTCTTCAAACGTAGAGGGGTGGACCCGAAAAAATTTGATCGAGCAATGAGGGCAATTCTTATGGCTTCTTCGAAGGTAGAGGGGTGAACCCGAAAAACTTCGGTTTTGACAATGCCAGTACGAAGACCTTCCATGAAGGTCGTCTGCATTGCAGCCATGAGAGTACTCAGCTCTTGGACAAAGTCCGATAACTCATTTTTTCCCTGACGTGTAGACAAAAAGCGTGAATGCACGCGGTAAGCTTAGTTAGGTCGTGAGAACACCTGTACCAATTTTGACTTCAGCGACTCCCATGTGGGGAATGCTAAGTCCACCGACGTGCTACACGTCAAAGTCCATTCTCTAGCTCGTCCATCGAGCTTCGAGATAGCCAGCGAGACCTGTTGATGGTCAAGCTTGATCAGGCCTGATCTCATGGCCATCTCAATCTCACGGATCCAGAGGATGAGGTTTTCACCCTCCTTACCATACTAATTCTTAACTTTCACTGTAAGTGGACGAGACCTAGCCTCTTCATCTGGTACAGGAACATGGTGAATAGGCAAAGCCGAAGATGCTTGGTCTTGGACCTTCCCTAGAAAAGTCGCTTTATACTGCATGAGGCCTACAACACGTGCATTTAGCACCTCAAAGCCTTGTGAAAGAAGAGCTCCAAGGAGTTCTGGACCCAAAGATGCGGTCAGCTTATCAAGCGCGACCTTTTGGGTCTCAGAGAGGGATGTAGGGTTTTCCATCCTCACGGAGAATCAGTCTTAAAGACTAAGACGTAGATTTACTACAAGTGCTACCAAGTGTAGCGGAGCTACACAGCTTCTTAAGTCAGAGGAAGACTTAACGCTCTACGAGCAACTTAATTCCAAAGAACTGGACTCAATGAGTCAACGAGCGTAAAGCTTATGGTCCTTATTCCAGGGGACAAATAATTAAGTAAATCGACAGCAATTGGTGCTCCAGAGTTACTAGCTATCTTAGGGAGGTGTTGCTAACTCTTAGTGATCAGTGATCAACGAGCAAAGACGCCTCGCAAGGCACGTGTCTTTAAGATCAAAAGGGGAACTGAATGTTCATGTACATTTACACCTACAGAATACCTTAACCTAAGTTAGTACAACTAACATCTCTCCTATCTGGTGGCTAACACCAGTCAGCCCCTCTAAACCGATAAGATATTCTAAATCTCTTTCAGTCGGATATCATCCGTGTGTCTAAGACACAGGGTACCAGGTACCCAACTACTTGTGACTCCGTAACAGCTACAGCCGGCTCAACCTCCTGGTGATGGCCTACTCCATCAAGGGGATTGGAAATATAGCGCCAAGTGAACGTACTAATTTTTACATGATGGCAACCGGAAGAGCTCGAAAGCGAAGAAGAAGTTTTCACAATCAAGAGAATCTTTGGTACGTTCATAAATTACAAGAATCGCTGTTCCTGGCAAATTGGTGCTCCCATTCCACCGCTGCTAAATTTATATCGTGAAATCGACGTTTCACAACAAGCGTCAATCTGCACTGTGTCGCAGCGAATGGAAGATGAATCAAAGATAGGTAGAAACATATTGCAATACTTTTTGTCATCCGGGATTGAGCTGAATTGCTAGACTATATCGTGACTTGAATGTCTTTTAGATTAAATCTTGAAACTGCAGATGGCGTTTTAGCTGAAGTGCATCGATACGCTTAAGCTGATGAACAGGTTGAAGTGGAAAGTCAAAACATGAATGCGGTTGACTTAATGAGCGAATGAAGGCGCACGGTCCGACTCTCAGTTGCGCAAGGTTATTATACCCGTATAGTAGACTGGTACACAACACGCGACTAGATGCCGACATAGCACAACGAAAGTGCCGATCTCATATAGGAAAAGAAAGGCTATTCGATTGCATATTTCCTAAACTCTTGGTAAAGTTACGTTACGTTGAATCCGATTTATTGACACGCATTCTGTGCGAGTACTCACGGTGATTAAAGCTGCTCCTGGTAGAAGTCGACCCATAACAAACAAGCAATTACAATCGCATTTTTTATGTAGTTTAATGATCAGAGGTAGAGTGTGAGGGCGAAATCACAAGAAAACGAAGGTTTAACCTGAGAAAACAAGAGCACAGCAACCAATTTTAAACTGTAGATTCGAATCTACATATGAAGCGTCGAGGGCAAATGCAACTTCGGAAGCGATTTACATTCCCTGCCCTTCTTTTCCTGCCCTTCTTTTCCTGCCCTATGTAAACATTGTTGGCTCGCATCATCAAACATAGCACACTCAACCCTGGTGGACAGGGGCGGCCAAAATGGATGTCAACAATAGTAACACGACCACGGCGCCGTTGCCAACTTCATCTACAATCATAAACTTGAGCATGATGATGATGATGATGCTCAACGGCCCCACGGGTGCTGTTATCCTGCTGTCGTTCATCATCCGCAAAAGTTGCTTCAGTGCTCATTAATTTTGCACAGTGTGATTGACGATCACTAAAAAATGTACATGCTAGAAGACGGCTACGAGCAGGACAGTGGACGTCTCGATCTGTACATGTGTGTCGACATAAGTCACGATCTGTGGCCAAAATAATTGACTGTGTTGTTGTGCGTGGACGATGTCAACGTCATACCAACGCCCTTGCATTCCTCTTCCGAGTCACGATACATTGAAATCGTCCACATACAACAACACAACCACATATCTCGGTCACAGGTCGTGACTTATGTCGACACACATGTACAGATCGACACGTCCACTGTCCCGCTCGTAGCTGTCTTCCATCATGCACCTTTGATTACTGGCCTTCAATCGGCGGCCATCAACCGGCGACCATATCCTTCAAAGCATGGCAGAATCCAAACCTCGCTCGGAGTTCCCTTCCACGCTCGTGACGAAAACGTGATCGAAAATCACGCGGACTTTTCAACCACCAGCTCGTCCGCTCAATCAACGGAAGTAGTCACTCGGACGCTACGTGACGAACCCACTCGTCGCAACACCAGCCCACCCGCTAGCTTTTCCATCTACCCCACTCACTAACCAACTTGCACTACCACACCACCACGTAGCAAGCAAGTACGCGGCCTCTCTCTGACTAACTGACCGACTCGATTATGAAGTTTACTGCTCTCGCCGTCACCACGCTCGACGCCGCAGCAAGCGTCGCATCATCCGCCACCGACTACTAGCCAGCACTCTGAGAACTTGCTGCGCCGGGCCCTGCTGTACCCAACGCTGACACCCTTGCCGCGAACCCGACCGAGAAACAATCGCGTCCTGCTGAGGCTGCTGCAGCTGCGGACAAGAAGCCCGCTGCCATCGTCGACGCCGAAGGAAAGAAAATTAAAGAGTGGTGGGGAGGCTTGGGATGGAGACGTTTCAATAGTGGTTTCGGTGGCTGCGGTGGATGGGATGGCTACGACGGAGGATGATGATGGTGGAGGATACCACACATGTGGCACTTCGCGCTGGCTGCATCCTGCCACACACTCAGACGGATGCGCGAAGAGGACGACAATCACGCCGAGCACAGACAATTTAGCACGTTTGAATGAACTTGTTAAGATCAACACGTTCTCGTATCTGTAACGGGGCACCCTGAAGCTTATACTGATGACAGTGCAAGCTACTTATCCTGAAGACAGAATAAGACGGTGCCGCGTAACTTCACGTACACTGGTACGTGCAGAGGAAGACGGTAAGAAGAAGAAGCGAGTACTTGGTTAAAGTAAAAAGTAGAACTGTATTTAGTATAGTTAATGTCTGTTAATAAATCATAATTTATCCTCATCTAACTATGTCTGAATACAAATGTGTAAATCAGTTATCTGCTCACCACTCATTGCGTGCTTCTGTCGTGGCGCGTCTTCGTTGGTTGATATAATGGCCTATATCAACCAATTAGGAACTACTCGTAAGTGCAACAGAATATTTGTCCTTATGACAATATTCCGAGAATATAGCTCTTATAGTTATATTCTATTAACAATTTCCTATAAATTGTTATGTAACGATTCACCCCGTTACATCACCCCCCCCCTCTTATCCATCAGTCACTTTAGTGACTGATTGACTAAATGGATACTCGTCCCAAACCATTTGGGACAGGGTTTGCACTTGTTGGTCCGAGTCCACTTCCCAACATTTCATCGCATGGTTAACAAGCCCATGCTGTGCGCGAGCAAGGCCGCCGAGAGCGCGTCCGCACGTCTCTGTGCGGACGCCGAAGCAGAAACCACAGCAACTGATGTCTCCTCGGTTGCTGAAGCGACCCAGCCTGTGTCACTTGGTGATGCAGGCGCTGGTCATGAAGACACTCGTGTCTTCACAGAGTACGAGCTCGGTGTCTCGTACTCTCCTGATACAAATGACGGATCCGTATCGACGGCGATCGAATCCAAGCCGCCTGCCAAGCGTGGCATGGATGATGCTGTGCGTCGTAGCATCTTTGGTTCACCTGATGAATCAGATGAACCATCGCCGAAGCGAAGGCACTCGAGGTCGCGAGACTCGGGCGCTAATAGTGGTGTCGGTTCTCCTATGGACACCACTTCGCAACGAGGTGCCAGTCCTTCTGTCGGCGCATCGCAAGAAGAGCGGGACCGCAATGTCTTGCGTCTCGCTCCAGAAAAGAAAGCAGGGCTGCCTCCAAAGTCGGTCATGGATCGCTTGTAGGCGACGACGAGTGATCGCTATCGAACACGATTGTTCGATTCATTAAGGATCTATCACCTTGACCCCAGCGCGAAAAACTATCGCGCTGAACACGAATTCTTCATCGATGCTTTCTTTAAGCATCGATGGTACAGTAGGAATCACAAGCGTGATGGTCCCTCACTACTTCAAGCGTGGAACGCTTACATACATAACCTTGAGGATGTAGGTCGTGACTTTTGGAACGAAAAACTTTTCAAAGCTCGTGATAAGTTTGAAAAGCGAACCCCGACAGGTGCACGCTATAAGCTGCATCGTCAGTTTAAGGAGGGTGGGTTACCCTGTCTTTCCTAGGGAGACTCGTGCCCATGTTGTGTGAACAACTCTGCGCGCGCACCTAAGGAGGCTTACCTCCCTAATAGCCCATGGTGGCGCGTACGTATCTCTAGTGAGATGTAAGAAGGGATTGACAGCCTGAAATCCCTTTACGACCGTGCCGGGAAGACTTTCTCTAGCAGTACTTCTGCGCCACAGGATGTGCCGCGTCGTACTGCTCAACCAGACCCAGTACGTCGATCATTAGTTGGGAGCGGGGCTCCCAAGCATCCCAGTACGGGGGATAACCGCACCATCGGACGAGGTAGCTCTTCCGACGTCCGTTCACATCGCGGTGGTTCAACAGCTGCTCAACAAGATAGCACTGGCCACCGCGAGAGTCCTCTAATCGAGGCGGAGGAGGAGGAAAGACGCTCTCCACACAATCGTGGGGAAGAGTGTGTTCCCGAAAGCCTCTTTGATCGCGTAACGAAAGGGTTACGCGACGATCTCGAACATGAGCGGGACAGGCGTCTCCAACTGGCGGACACTGCCTCGAAGCATCGAGCTGAGTTTGCCTTTGCTCAGCTTGAGAAAGAGAGAGCTTTGACATATCTGCGCGACGAGCTAAGGGTAGCTCGTGGGGATATTGACCGATCTCGGGCTGAAATAACTGCTCTTCAGACCCTTATTGAAATCCACCATCGGGAGCACAAGGCCCTCTGTGAGATGCTTGAGCGCAAGAGCGTTCTTCATAGGAAGAAGCAGCGTACTGATGGTACGGCTTAAGCCGACCAACGTGAAACGTGGGATGCGTTCGCATCTTACGTGGCAACTCGATCGTGTATGCGTTTCCTAGGCGATGCAATACACGAGATAGGCCAATGTACTTGGGTAGAAGTTTACTGCTACCCAAGTTAGTCACTACATGCTTTGGTAGATTAACCGTAGACAGTAGGACTAAGTCACCTTTACTAAATAAAAGAGTGTTTGCCCTTCCATTCTTGTCAGCGTTTTGCTTTTGCTTATCCACCGCTTCGGCGATGGAGTCTTGCACAAAACGGACTACCGTTTCACGAGCCAGTATGAACTCATCTGATGACTCGTTAGCTTCAGTGCGCTGTGAGCGCACTGCAGCAACAACAACCTTTTCTTCAGTGAGGGCTTCCGCACTCTCACTGGCATCATCTTCTTCGATATCGATGTTATCGATATCGGCATCAAACGCAATGACCTCTTCGTCAGAATGTGGTGAGCGTGAACCAAATCGGTTTTTGCTCGCGCGAGTCCCTCCCCCCCTTAAACCAGAGTTACACTCTAGTAAGGTGGGTACACGCGGATGGCGCAAGCCATTCACGTAAAACGGTGTATGTGTCGTGGACGCATGCACCGAGTTGCTAATGGCAAACTCTACCATTTGCAAGAACTCACTCCAACTCTTAAAGGAGTGTACGTATCCTCGAAGGGTCTCTTCAAGGACACGATTGGCACGTTCCGTCTGACCATCTGACTCTGGATGGTCAGATGTTGACATCTTCAAGCGCGTTCCGAGTGATTTGAACACGGAACGCCAGAAATCAGCAGTGAAGCGTGGATCTCTGTCTGATACGAGTTCACGGGGCAACCCATGAAGTCGGAAGATGGTGTCAATAAAGACACAAGCACAGCCACTTGCCGTGATTGACTCTGGTACAGCCACAAGGTGTACCATTTTGCTGAATCTGTCAACAAATCCACGAATACCCGTATTCCCGCGTGCGTCTTTGGATAACCCGAAGACAAAATCGATTGAGATGGATTCCCAGCACTCAGCCGGAACCGGTAGAGGCTGTAAAGGTGCACGCAGTGAAGGACTTGACTTCACTCGTTGACAGACTTCGCATGCGCGAACATACTTTCGCACAAACTGATACTGCCGGGGCCAGTAAAAGTCTCGACTCACCGTGAGATATGTTTTCTCCCGGCCACGATGCCCTCCTATAGGAGCATCGTGATACTCGAACATGATCCGCAAACGCAGATCAGTATCATCTGGAATGACAACATGTGGTGTGTCACCAGTAATGGCTGTATAAAACAGTACCCGTTGCGAGTAGTGTATCGATCTGATGCAGATCGATACGCAGGCGACAGTCGTTTCAACGATTCTCGAGGTGGTTGGGAGAGATGTGACAACAACTTCACTATCTCACCTTCTGGGGCATACGCCCGCCTCACATCATCATACAACGTTTTAGATAGTACTGAGGACGTCATAACCGCAACAGTGGCTGTCTCACTGTTGGTTTCCGCGACTGTTTCAAAGTCGGGACGACGTGAGAGTGCATCAGCAACGACATTAAGTCGTCCTGGTTTGTACTCGACCGTAAAGTTGCAGTCTGCAAAGAATGACAACCACCGCGCCATTCGTTGTGAAAGGTGCGGGCTGTTCACTGCCGTGCGTAATGACGCATGGTCTGTGTAAACAATGAAGGGTCTATCTCCTAAGAGATAGACTCTGAACCTCGCGAGTGCATACTTCATGGCAAGGAGTTCCTTGTCATGCACTGGATAGTTCCGCTCAGCTG